CAGTTCTGCCTGTGTTTTATAATGTGGATCCCTCCGATGTGCGAAAACAAAGCGGCAGTTTTGCAGGGGCGTTCGCTGAGCATGAGAAAAGGTTTAGGGAAGACATAGAAAAGGTGAAGCGCTGGAGAGCTGCTTTAACAGAAGTTGCCAATTTATCGGGGTTGGATTCAAATAAGATTCAGTAAGCAACTTCTCCATATATACTTGGGTTTTTCGTAAGCCAATTTTCACTTTGATGTACCTTTAGACCATTGTTCTTAATCATTGTTCATTGTTCATTGTTCTTCCTTATACTTTTGACTTAATCATTGTTCTTCCTTGTAGGTGTGAAAGAAAGCTCATTGAAAAGATTGTTGATTGGGTGTGGGGGAAAGTGCATCGCACATTCAAATTGTTAGATTCCACAGAGTTAGTGGGAATTAAGTTTACACGTGAGGAAATGGATTTGCTTCTAGATCCTACAGATGATGTTCGCTTTGTAGGGATATGGGGGATGGGAGGCATTGGCAAGACAACCATTGCTAGGCTTGTTTATGAAAGCATTTCTATTCATTTTGAAGTTAGCTGCTTTCTTGCTAGTGTTAGAGAGGCTTCTGAAGGTAATCGTCTTGTTGATCTACAAAGACAGCTTCTTTTCCCTATCTTGAAGAAACAAATTACTCGAGTTTTGAATGAAGACTGGGGGACCCATTTCATTAAGAATTGCTTATGTAATAAAAAGGTTCTTCTCATTCTTGATGATGTGAATGCATCAAGCCAACTAGAGAAATTTGCTAAGGAAAAGGATTGGTTTGGTAAGGGGAGTATAATCATCATTACAACTAGAGATGAACGGTTGGTTAAAAAGCATGATATGGAGATATCATATAAGCTTGAGGGATTAGGTGATGATGAGGCTCTTGAGCTCTTCAGTCTGAATGCCTTTAAAAAATTTGAGCCTGACGAAGGTTTTTGGGAATTGTCCAAGTGCTTTGTAAATTATGCTGGAGGCCTTCCATTAGCTCTTAAAATTTTGGGATGCTCTGTGTATAAGAGAGATCGAGATGAATGGAAAAATGAATTGGATAAGCTACGGAAAATTCCTAAGACAGAAATTTTCGATTTGCTCAAAATCAGTTTTGATAGACTAGATGAGACGAACAAGAATATATTTCTTGATGTTGCATTTTTCCATAAGGGGAAGGAAAAGAATAAAGTAATTGAAATACTAAACATTTGTGATCGTTGTGGTGGGATAAATGCTCTGGTTGAGAAGTCGCTCTTAACTATTGATATTTCAAAGCACGTTCACATTGTTGGGATGCATGATTTGATACAAGAAATGGCATTTCAAATTGTTCATCAAGAGTCAACTGAGCCTGGTGGACGCAGTCGATTGTATCATCGTAACGACATCATTCATGTATTGATAAACAATACGGTAAGAAATGTAGAAAATACCAATTTTTTATTATAATAAATGTGATTTCTTTTTCATTCAATATTAGTCTAAAATGTGGAATTAACTTTTCCCTTGCTATTCTTTATTACAGGCAACTAACAAAATTCAAGGCATTGCCTTAAGCATGGCAAAACTTGAAAAGGCGGATTGGAATTGTGAAGCATTCTCTAAGATGATTAACCTGAAATTTCTTGAAGTTGATAATGTGATCATTTCCTCGATCCCCAGAATTCTTCCTAATTCCTTAAGAATTATGAAATGGAATTGGTATTCTTCCAAATATCTCCCATCAAATTTTCAACCGAATAAACTTGTTTCACTTAAGATGCAGTGCAGTGAACTAGTTCGGCTCTGGGATGAAAGAATTGTAAGATTGCTGACCATATGCCATTATATATTCTACTATAAGTTTTCTTGTTGCTAATTATATATTCTACTATTTTTCATGTAATATTGTACAGGACTTGCCCAATTTGAAATACATGGACCTTAGTTGGTCTCTAAACTTGGCAACAACCCCAAATTTCACTGGCATTCCAGAACTCCAGGTGTTGAATCTTGAAGGGTGTGAGAATTTAGTTGAGATTCACCCGTCCATTGCATATCTCAAATGGCTTACAAAATTAATATTAGATGGATGCAAAAGTGTTAAGAGTCTTCCAAGTGAGGTAGAAATGGATTCTCTTGTGTCTTTCAGTCTTGAAAGTTGCTCAAAACTGAAAAAGATTCCAGAATTTTCAGGACAAATGGAAAATTTGTCAACTCTTAATTTAAACGGGACACCCATTGAGAAATTACCTTCATCAATTGGACGTCTTGTTGGCCTTACTATTCTGAACATAGGCAATTGTGAAAATCTCTTGGGTCTTCCGAGTGAAATTTGTAATTTGAAGTCTCTTGTAGGGCTCTGGGCAGATGGATGCTCTTACAGTGACGAACGCCCAAAAATCTACTGGTGGCCCGATTCAAAGATCAATATGCTGCCTAATAAATCAGAGCGTAAAAAATCAAGGTTTTGGGGGGGCCTCCAAAGAAAGGCTTTTGCGTTGGGTTCGCTACATGGTTTATGGTCTTTGAAGTATTTGACTGTGAGTGATTGTGGTCTTTGTGAAGGGGATATTCCCGTTGATATTGGCTGCTTGTCCTCTTTAGAACAATTAGTCCTTAGTCGAAACAATTTTGTTAGCCTTCCTGCAAGCATTGGATGTCTTCCTAAGCTTGTGACATTTTTCGTGGATGGGTGCCAAAGGCTTCAACAATTGCCCCATCTCCGCTTTGGATTGGTTGATAATGAAGGCTTCTGCGTTATTCGAATAGACACAGACAATTGCACTTCCTTAAAAATGTTTCCAAAGTTGAGCATAAAAAACGGAAGTTATGTTAACTTGAGTTGTGCGAATTGCTACGGATTGGTTGAGAATGATGGCTGCGATGATAGTATAATACTTGGAATGCTCAAGATTGCTCTGGATCGGAGATTCGTTGAGGTTCTCTCTCTGTCTCTCTAATCTCTCTTTGTTTGCTATAATAATAATAAATAATCAAGTTACTAACCTATACATGGTACAGGTACCTTTAATCAATTCTCTCTCGATTGCTCAGTATTGCTCTGGATTGGAGATTCCCAAGTGTATTCGCGTTTTGCAATTTGTAACACCTGGAAGTAGAATTCCAGAGTGGTTCAATAATCAAAGTGTAGGAGATTCCTTAATTGTGGAGCTACCTCCATGTACCACGTCGATTCGGATTGCTTTTTGTGCTGTCTTTGAAGAAGAAGGTGCCCCTGTGGTTCACCCAAATCCGCTTTATGACATTTCTACCTATTTTCAAATTGAATGTCGCTTAGGAGAAGGTGCCCCTGTGAGTAGTGATTACATTCAAAAAGGCCATTTTGTGTCACCTCACCTTTGGGTATCTTGTGTATATCATTATGGAGTCGACAAAAAATGCAGTCAGATGAAGATTTCATTCCAAACTTTTTATGACGTTCTTTCTTGCCCCTCGGACAGAATATATTGCTCAGGCATAAAGAAGTGTGGGTTACGTTTGGTGCACAAGCAAGACATGGAAGAACTCAACCAAATCATGATGATGAACCACTCCATCAACATCAGCACAAAAGCTACTTCTCCTCACAATTCAGCTGATGCAAGTGCAAGCTCTCACCAAAAATCTCTTTGCCGCAAAACCTATGCTCTTTCCAAATGGTTTTTAACAAAACTTGTAAAGATTTTCTCCCTCTTTTCAGCAACTTCAGTTTTTATGAAATCTTTCAACAATAGCGAACAATGGGGGTGCATAGGACTTTTGATTTGGAGGGTAACCACTTTGATTTCCTACTTAGGCCTTGCACCCTCTTATTTTTCGCTATTGTTGAAAAGTTTAATAAAAACTGTGATTCTTAAAAGAGCAGCTAAATTTTTGCGACCTTTGTTAAAAACGTCGCCTCCTCAAATGTCTGCACATAAATACTTGAAAGGCTAATGACGGTCTTCTCACCATTGATATTAGTAAGTTCTCATCAGTATCTTTTCTAGCCAGACATTTACCATTAGATTCATCACTTACTGTTTCGTGGATGACATTTGCCATTCATTTGAACAAAGTATCTGTTAACATACTACAAATCAGTAAGTATGTTCAGATAGACTTTTTATTAGACCTACCTGATCAAAAGTAGTGGCGTGCTTATTGGCTAGGTTCGCATGAAATTTGCACTTCAAGAGCTACAAGCTCTTTAGACCTAGCTTTGTTATAATGGTTTGATTCTTATTGACACAACTTAGATGACTATTTCAACTGCTATATTCTGTTGTGTGCAAGATGGAATAAGCCAACAAGAATTTTCAATCATAAGCTTCGCATTGAGATGGAATAAGCCAACAAGAATTTTCAATCATAAGCTTCGCATTGAGAATTGAGCGTATCTGCAACCGATCAATTGCTTTGTAAGGATTCCTATTTTGTCTGCTTCACTTCATCTCCTTGATAGTTTGTGCAATCTCCTTCAATTATGTAATCTTCTCTTATATTAGCATATCTAAGTTTTAAATTACCTTATGTAACATAATGGAATTCTGAGAGGTTCATTAAACCATCATATAAGCGAGCGTCGTCTTAGACGACAATTTTTCACCGTGGTCAATATGTTGAGTAGAATTGGGCAATGCTAGTTGTATCTTGAAATAAACAAACTATAATAACTTTTTTTATTATCAAAATATTTGGAGAACTGGATTTATGAATGAGTTGTAGGTGTCAATCTAGTCAAAATGATGTACTCACATTTCCACGAAAGCAGAGAATGACATTTTCACACTAGGGAAATCATTCTGGAGCTATAAGAAGACTGACATTACTACATATGCTATAGTGTATATTAAAGTTACAAAAAATTATTCTGGATCAACCAGGCTAAAAGGCAGTATGCAACAAACACAACCCAATCAAGCACAACTGAGGGCCGAACAAACAACCAATGTAATTCAAACCAGAAGTTATGGATCCAAAAGTTGACAGTGATTTTAATGTCATTGTCTTATATATACAATTAAGAACGAAAATAGAGATCCAAGTAGGATTGTAATGTGGAAGAGCATAAAACTTCAAACATTCAAGATTGAGGCAGATTTAGCTAACATGTACTTCTTGAATCAAAGTACCAAGATAAGAAAAAAGCTAGAACTCTTTATGCTGTTTTATTAAGTCCTATAAGCTAAAGGCATTTAAGGCATCAAGTAGTAGAAACATATTCCACAATACCGCTATATACATAGAAAAAAAAAATTGAAAAATAATGTAACTATTTATAAACCAGTTAATTTACCGTCTGGATGCATTTTATATAATGCATCGGTTGATAATCACCCATTTATCAATCTATTGTTTTGAATCTTAATGTTGCAACAAGATGATCTTAGGAATGTTGTTTCCGAGGTTTGGTATTTCAGAACCAATTTATCATCAAAATTCAGTTGATACTGAATCAAATTATTTTTAACAAAATTTGAGAAACAAAAAGGCCTTACAAGGGAAAGCATCAATGGCGCATTTCACCAACCATACTTTTTCAGCAAATCTCCGGTTCTCTTCCTCATCCGAGTAAAAATTATTACCACCAGAAATGTTCAATTTTTGGGAACTGTTCAATTTTTGGACCCACCGTGGAGGATCTCTCAAAACCAAGGTTATCAAGACGGTTATAACAGCTACTCCAAGCAAGATTTTTGTCATCGGTTGGATCAAGGAATCCTGCATTTAGAGAAGAATTAAGTAGGAAAACTAGTACCAAAAGACATATCACATGTCACTGCAACATTCCAATGTCTGCAACATAATGCATATCAAAGAATCTTGTGGCAAATAAATTGTAAACAGTCCACCTACAGAACATTCCTTTACATGAGAGAAAATCAAATTATTTGGCTTTTAGAAGGAAATGCGAGGGTGGAAAGACAAAAGATACAGGGGATCCGGATAGACTACTTATGAAATAGACAAAAGAACACATAAGAAAGTATGTGGTCACTACTACAAAAAGTACAAAAGACGACCATAAAACAACGACGGTAGATCAAAAAACCGTCGTATTTTAAAAGACGACGGTAATCACTAGTAAAAAAAAACCCTTGCGCGACCAACTTTTGTGCGACGAAAGCCAAAACTTCGTCGCTAAAAGTCTTACACGACTAAATTTTGCGCAACGAAACACAATCGTCGCCCAAAGTCACTTTGCGCGACGACAAAACATCGTCACACAAAGTCTTTGCAAAAATAAATAAAATAAAAAAATTATTTTTTAAAATCTTTGCATGACTTTGCGCGACCAATTACTAAACTTCGTTGCACAAAGTATTGCACTACCAAGTGTGATTCGTTGCGCAAAGTCTTTACAAAAATAAATAAAATAAAAAAATTATTTTTTAAAATATTTGCATGACTTTGGGCGACGAAGTACTGAACTTTGTTGCACAAATTATTGCGCTACCAAGTGTGGTTCGTCGCGCAAAGTCTTTACAAAAATAAATAAATTAAAATAAATTATTTTAAAAAATATTTGCATGACTTTGCGTGACCAATTACTAAACTTCATTGCGCAAAGTACTGTGCTACCAAGAGTGATTCGTCGCGCAAAGTCTTTACCAAAATAAATAAAATAAAATAATTATTTTTTAAAATCTTTGCATGACGTAATCCAAATATTTCGTCACCTAAACCAATTTATTTTTGTTTTTTTATTTTATATGCATAACACTTAAGAAATTAAACGGTATATATATTTATTAAGTAGCTTTAAATTTATTATTTTAGCTCGGATCGGATTTTTGTTAGAAAATTATATTATTGTAGTTCGAATTGGGTTTTTGTTAGAAAATATATATTTTAAATTGACGATCGAATTAGTTCATTGTATTCATATATGGTCAAGGAGTGTAGCTGTAAAAAATCATCAAAATCGAAATTGAAATAACCATTAAATCGTGATTTTTCATTTATAACCGTCGAAATGTTTTGTCCCATTACTTGATCTCTGAATGTTTGTTTTTTCCGATTTTTGGCGTATATGATCTCGAAGTATAAACAAACAAGTTTGACGGTTGGATCGTTGAAACTAGTTTCGTAGAATGCGTATACCATCAAAACAATATATTCACTAACAATTAAGAATTTATTTATACTTTTATTAAATATAACATAAGATTTTGTGGTATCCATTAGTGTAAATATTTTAAATTGACGATCGAATGCAGTCATTGTATTCATATAGGGTCAAGGAGTGTAGCTGTACAAAATCATCAAAATCAGAGTTGAAATAACCGTTAAATCTTGATTTTTCGTTTTTAACCGTCGAAATGTTTTGTCCCGTTACTTGATCTCTGAATGTTTTTTTTTCCAATTTTTGGCTTGTATGATCTCAAAGTATAAACAAACAAGTTTGATGGTTAGATCGTTGGAACTAGTTTCGTAGAATGCGTATGCCATCAAAACAATGTATTCACTAACAATTAAGAGTTAGTTTGATGGTTAGATCGTAGAACTAGTTTCATCTCATTGCCCATGACCGGACAATGACCAACTTGGACCCAAGACTCACACAACAGAACATCTTCCATGGTTGTCCATGTTGCTCCGGCTTCGATGGAAGATGCCATAAGATGGTGAATAAAAATGAAAATTGAAAGTGAAGAAAATTTTGTGTACAAAGTGAAAAATAATAGAAGAAGAAGAAAATGTGTGAGGATTTGGTGTTGAAAGTGATCAACATTGGTAGGTATTTATAGATAAAAATCCCAGAATTTTTTGGTACTTTTTTTTATAAAAAAAAATTGATTTGAGGGGAAAAAAATGATTGGAGCGACCAAAACACACCACGTGGCGTGTTACCGTTGGTGGACGTCAGGGTTGACGCCAGCCTGGCGTCAGCGCTGACGTCAGCTGCCTTCAGGCTCCAACTCGAGCTAGTTTTGCCTGCGAGCTGGCCCTGTCTCGTGGGACCCACGGCTTGCCCGGGCAAGCTTGGCCCGCTGGAAGCTCGCGCTTGGGCTTGGGCCCTGTCCTGCTAGGGCTGGGGGCGACAAATGGAAACGCTCTAAGCAAAGCTTGTTGCATGATTTTTTATCAACTCGAGGGGATGGAAAGTAGTTGCGTGCTTATTAGCCAAGTTCACATGAAATTTGCACGTCAAGATCTACAAGCTCATTAGACCTAACTTCGTTATAATCGCTTGGTTTTTATTGACACAATGAACTATAGCATTCTCAATAAGCTATTTATTTTCAATGTCTAAGTCGTAAAATGGTATTTTCATTAACTTTTTCTGTTAAATGTAGGGGCAAAATGGTATTTTTGTATTATTTTTGTATTATCTCAATAAGCTATTATTTTTGTATTAACATTTGCAATTTTAGTTTCTTTAGAGTTGTGCAGTACATATTGTTTCTTTAGAGTTGAATTACTCCGTTTCTCTCTGCTGAATTGGAAGTACAAAGTAATACCATGAAAAAATACATGTTCGAGACTATCTAAATTTCCCCGAAACTTGTTTTGTTGCTTATATTCCTTCAACTCCCGTATTTTTCCTCAGCTTTATTTACCCCCTAAAAAAGAAAATATCTTCAAATTTCAATCCTTTTCATTTTTCATTGAGTAGTGTTTGCAGAAGCAGCAACAAATTGTCAATGGCGTTGAGCACCCAGAGAGCCTCTGCTTTTCATCCTTCAGCTCATCAGTCGGCTCCTACTCAATGGAACTACGATGTGTTTTTGAGTTTCAGGGGTGTAGACACTCGAAATAGCTTTGTGTCCCATTTATACTACGAATTGCAGCACAGGGGCATAAAAACATTCAAGGATGATCCAAAGCTTGAAAGAGGGAAAACCATTTCTTTAGAGCTCCTCAAAGCAATCCAAGAATCAAGGCTTGCAATCGTTGTTCTCTCGCCAAACTATGCTTCTTCTTCCGGGTGCTTGGATGAACTTACAAAGATTCTCCAATGCATGAAATCCAACGGCACAGTTCTGCCTGTGTTTTATAATGTGGATCCCTCCGTTGTGCGAAAACAAAGCAGCAGTTTTGCAGGGGCGTTCGCTGAGCATGAGAAAAGGTTTAGGGAAGACATAGAAAAGGTGAAGCGCTAGAGAGCTGCTTTAACAGAAGTTGCCAATTTATCTGGGTTAGATTCAAAGAATCAGTAAGCAACTTCTCCATATATACTTGGGTTATGTCTATGGCTTATACTTTTGACTTAATCATTGTTCTTCCTTGTATGTGTGAAAGAAAGCTCATCGAACAGATTGTTGAATGGGTGTGGGGGAAAGTGCATCGCACATTCAAATTGTTAGATTCCACAGAGTTAGTGAGCAAATGGATTTGCTTTTAGATCCTACAGATGATGTTCGCTTTGTAGGGTGATGGGGGATGGGAGGCATTGGCAAGACAACCATTGCTAGGCTTGTTTATGAAAGCATTTCTATTCATTTTGAAATTAGCTGCTTTCTTGCTAATGTTAGAGAGGCTTCTGAAGGTAATCGTCTTGTTGATCTACAAAAATAGCTTCTTTCCCCGATCTTGAAGGAACAAATTACTCAAGTTTGGGATGAACAGTGGGGGACCTATTTCAGTAAGAATTGCTTATGTAATAAAAAGGTTCTTCTCATTCCTGATGATGTGAATGCATCAAGCCAACTAGAGAAATTTGCTAGGGAAAAGGATTGGTTTGGTAAGGGGAGTATAATCATCATTACAACTAGAGATGAACGGTTGGTTAAAAAGCATGATATGGAGATATCATATAAGGTAGAGGGATTAGATGATGATGAGGCTCTTAAGCTCTTTAGTCGGAACGCCTTTAAAAAATTTGAGCCTGTGGAAGGTTTTTGGGAATTGTGCAAGTGCTTTGTAAATTATGCTGGAGGCCTTCCATTAGCTCTTAAAATTTTGGGATGCTCTGTGTATAAGAGAGATCAAGATGAATGGGAAAGTGAATTGGATAAGCTATGGAAAATTCCCGAGTCAACAATTTTCGATTTGCTCAAAATAAGTTATGATGGACTAGATGAGGAGAACAAGAATATATTTCTCGATGTTGCATTTTTCCTTAAGGGGAAGGACAAGAAGAAAGTAATTGAATACTAGACAGTTGTGACCGTTGTGGTGGGATAAATGCTCTCGTTGAGAAGTCGCTCTTAACTATTGATATTTCAAACAACATTGTTGGGATGCATGATTTGATACAAGAAATGGCATTTAAAATTGTTCGTCAAGAGTCTCCTGAAGAGCCCGGTAGATGCAGTCGATTGTGTCATCCTAATGACATCATTCATGTATTAATAAACAATACGGTAAGAAGTTATGTAGAAAATAGCAATTTTTTTTTTTTTAAGGAAATATAATTTCTTTTAAACTCAATATTAGACTTAAATGTGGAATTAACTTGTCCTTTACTATTCTTTATTACAGGGAACTAACAAAATTCAAGGCGTCGCCTTAAGCATGGCAGAACTTGGAAAGGCGGATTGGAATTGTGAAGCATTCTCTAAGATGATTAACCTGAAATTTCTTGAAGTTAATAATGTGATCATTTCTTCAATGTCAATCCCCAGAATTCTTCCTAATTCCTTAAGAATTATGAAATGGAATTGGTATTCTTCCAAATATCTCCCATCAAATTTTCAACCGAATAAACTAGTTTCGCTTAAGATGCGGGACAGCAAACTAGTTGGGCACTGGGATGAAAGAATTGTAAGATAACTAACCATATGCCATCTCACGAATTTTTTGAAAGAAAAGAGTAGAAGTTTAAGTTTTCTGGTTGCTAATTATATATTCTACTGTTTTTCATGTAATAATATTGTACAGGACTTGCCCAATTTGAAATACATGAACCTTTCTGGCTCTCGAAACTTGGCAACAACCCCAAATTTCACTGGCATGCCAAAACTCCAGCGGTTGGATCTTGAAGGGTGTGATAATTTAGTTGAGATTCACCCGTCCGTCGCAAATCTCAAATGGCTTACACATTTAATACTAGATGAATGCAAAAGTGTTAAGAGTCTTCCAAGGGAGGTAGAAATGGATTCTCTTACATATTTATGTCTTGCGGGTTGCTCAAAACTGAAAAAGATTCCAGAATTTTCAGGACAAATGGAAAATTTGTCACATCTTATTTTAAAAGGGACGCCCATTGAGAAATTACCTTCATCAATTGGACGTCTTGTTGGCCTTACTTGTCTGAATGTAGACTATTGTGAAAATCTCTTGGGTCTTCCAAGCGAAATTTGTAATTTGAAGTCTCTTGAAAGCCTCCTTGCGGAAGGATGCTCACACAGTCACAAATGCCCAGAAAACTCGTGGGGCTATTCAAAGATCGGTATGCCTAACAAATCAGGGTTTTGGTTGGGCCTCCAAAGAAAGGCTTTTGTGTTGGGTTCGCTAGATGGTTTATGGTCTTTGAAGAGATTGGATCTGAGTTGTGAAGGGGATATTCCCGTTGATATAGGCTGCTTGTCCTCTTCAGAAGAATTAAACCTTTGTCGAAACAATTTTGTTAGCCTTCCTGCAAGCATTGGATGTCTAACTAAGCTTCGGAATTTTTATGTGGATGGGTGCCAAAGGCTTCAACAATTGCCCCATCTCCGCATGGATAATGAAGGCTTCTGGGTTTGCATAGGCACAAACGATTGCATTTCCTTAAAAATGTTGCCAAAGTTGAGCTTAAAAAACGGAAGAAGTAATGTTATGTTGAGTTATTTGAATTGCTCTGGATTGGTTGAGAATGATGGCTGCGATGATAGTATAATACTTGGAATGCTCTGGATTGGAGATTCCCTCAGGTTCTCTCTGTCTCTCTTTGTTTGCTATAATAATAATAAATAATCAAGTTACTAACCTATACATGGTACAGGTACCTGCATTCGATTGGCCCTATTTTGAAATTGTAACACCTGGAAGTGGAATTCCCTCTTTCGAAATTGTAATACCTGGAAGTAGAATTCCAGAGTGGTTCAATAATCAAAGTGTAGGAGATTCCATAATTGTGGAGCTACCTCCATGTACCATGTCGATTTGGATTGCTTTTTGTTGTGTCTTTGGAGCTACCTCATTCTACCTCTATTGATATTCTATGTCGCTCAGGAGAAGGTCACCCTGTGCAGAGTCTGGTGGCCATTGATAAAGGCCATCTTGTGTCACCTCACCTTTGGGTGTCTGGTGTACATCGTTATGTAGTCAACAAAGAATGCAGTCAGATTAAGATTTCATTCGAAACTTATTATAATGACGATTATGTCGATATTTCTTCGTCCTCAGACAGAATATATTGCTCGGGTATAAAGAAGTGTGGGTTCCGTTTGGTGCACAAGCAAGACGTGGAAGAACTACACCAAATCATGATGATGAACCACTCCATCAACATCAGCACAAAAGCTACTTCTCATCACAATTCAGCTGATGCAAGTGCAAGCTCTCACCAAAAATCTCTCTGCCGCAAAAGCTATGCTCTTTTCAAAGGGTTTTTAACAAAACTTGTAAAGATTTTCTCCCTCTTTTTAACAAGTGCAGTTTTTATCAAATCTTTCAACAATAGCAAACAATGGGGATGCATAGGACTTTTGATTTGGAGGGTAACCACTTTGATTTCCTACTTAGGCCTTGCACCCTCTTATTTTGAGCTATTGCTGAAAATTTTAATAAAAACTGTGATTCTTAAAAGAGCGGCTAAATTTTTGCCAACTTTGTTAAAAACGCCTCCTCAAATGTTTGCACATAAATACTTGAAAGGCTAATGACGGTATTCTCGCAATTGATATTAGTAAGTTCCCATCACTATCTTTTCTAGCCATACATTTACCATAAGTATGTTCAGATAGACTGAATTGTTTTTTATTAGACCTAGCTGATCAAAAGTAGTCAACTCAAATTTGGGGTCTTGATACAGGATTTGGAGCTGATCAAAAGTAGTTGCGTGCTTATTGGCCAGGTTAGCATGAAACTTGCACCTCAAGAGCTACAAGCTCATTAGACCAAGCTTTGTTATAATTGTTTGATTCTTATTAACACAACTTACGTTACTAATTCAACTCCTCTATTTTGTTGTGTGCAGGATGGAATAAGCCAACAAGAATTTTCAATCATAAGCTTAGCATTGAGAATTGATCGTATCTGCAATCGATCAACTGCTTTGTCGGGATTCCTACTTTGTTTGCTTCACTTCATCTCCTTGATAGTTTGTACAATCTCCTTCAATTATGCATATCTAAGTTTTAAATTACCTTATGTAACATAATGGAATTCTAAGAGGTTCATTAAACCGTCGTATAAGTGAGGTCGCCTGAGACTACAATTACAATTTTTCCCCATGGTCAATATGTTGAGTAGAATTGGGCAGTGCTAGTTGTATCTTGAAATAAACAAACTATAATAACTTTTTTTTATTAAAATATTTGGAGAACTGGATTTATGAGGTACTACATGATTTATGAATTAGTTATTAGTAGTAGAGAATTGGTCAATCTAGTCAAAATGTATGTACTCACATTTCCACGAAAGCAGAGGATGACATTACAAACATCCAATGTAATTCAAACCAGAAGTTATGGATCCAAAAGTTGACAGTGATTTTAACGTCACTGTAATGCAGAAAGAAAATATAGATCCAAGCAGGATTGTAATGCAGAAGAGCATGTACTTCTTGAATCAAAGTACCAAGTGAAGAAAAACGCTAGCACTTTTACGCTGTTTTATTAAGTCCTATAAGCTAAAGGTATTTAAGGCATCAAGTAGTAGAAATATATTCCACAATACCACCATATACATAGAAAAATAATTGAAAATTAATGTAACTATTTATAAACCAGTTAATTTACCGTCCGGATGCATTTTATATAATGCATCGGTTGATAATCACCCATTTATCAATCTATTGTTTTGAATCTTAATGTTGCAACAAGATGATCTTAGGAATGTTGTTTCTGAGGTTTGGTATTTCAGACACAATTTAAGTTTGTTGCTAATCAATTTATCTTTCAGTGCAGCTTGTCACCAATTTCAGTTATGACGACGTCCAAATGAGCATCACTTGCTTCATCGTCAAAATTCAGTTGATACTGAATCAAATTCTTTTTGACAAAATTTGAGAAACAAAAAGGCCTTACAAAGGAAAGCATCAATGGCACCTTTCACCAACCATACTTTTTCAGCAAATCTCCGGTTCTCTTCCTCATCCGAAGAAAAACTATTACCACCAGAGCAATGATCCAAGGAGGAAAATTTCCGCCAGAAATGTTCAATTTTTGGACCCACTGTGGAGGATCTCTCAAAACCAAGGTTATCAAGACGGTTATAACAGCTACTCCAAGCAAGATTTTTGTCACCGGTTGGATCAAGGAATCCTGCATTCAGAGAAGAATTAAGTAGGAAAACTAGCACCAAATGACATATCACATGTCACTGCAACATTCCGCTGTCTGCAACATAATGCATATCAAAGAATCTGGGGGCAAATAAATTGTAAACAGTCCACCTGCAGAGCATTCCTTTACATGGGAGAAAATCCAATTATTTGCCTTTTAGAAGGAAATGTGAGGGTGGAAAGACAAAAGATGCAGGAGATCCTAACAGACTGCTCATGAAATAGACAAAAAACACATAAGAAAGTATGTGGTGCACAACTTTCTGTGGTGCTGTGCTAATAGCAACAGTTTCTGACCCTAAAAATGAAAAACAGGCGAAGTACCCACCGTAACAATGCTGTGAAATCCTATTTCTTTTAGGAATATGTAGTTGTAAAACTCAGTGTCTATGATATAAATGAACAAAACCTATAAGATGAATCCTGCAGGTTCTTTACGGGATCTTTTGCCATTTTGACTTTTAGGAAAGTGGTCCTGTTTTTGTCAGATGAACGCCAAGAAACCCCGAACTATAGGAACCCATTTTGGATTGTCTCCCTATGAGTTGCTGCTTCAACTTTCGAAATGAAATTTATGCTTCATGTTTTGACTTGTGAAAATCAACTTCATGGAATCTTTAAATTAACTTTTGGGTAAGAGTTCCTTATGTGGTCTTGAGCTACTATCTTTGGTTCTTCCTTTAGCTATTGTTTTCTTGTGTCCCAAATATGTGGATTTTCATGTTTGTTATACAATATTTGAGTTTAATTCAGCATATCTTCAGTTCAAATGCATCTCCCTTTCTCTCAGCTGTTTCTCATGCTTGTTCATCTTCGCCTCTAATCTCTTCTCTTCAGTATCTCTGGATTTCCTATGGAAATATCCAAAATTACTTCAAATTTTGGGTATTTCTTTTGGGTCTTTTCATTAAATTTTCTTTTATATTTCTAAGCTGAAATAGGCATACATAACTGTTTATATCTCAACCTAAACCTCAGACTGTTATCGTACGTCATCATGTGTGCAAAGAGAATTTGAACTGCAAGCGTCCTCTTTAGATTAAACACAGCTATTAGGTTATTATTTACCTAACCAAATTGGAGGACAATATTTTGTGCCTTTTTTTTTTTGGTACAAGTGATATTGAGGGAGTGGAAATTGAACCTAAGATCTCTCGTGTATGGATAAATGCTCTTAACCAACTGAATGTCATTACTTAATACCTGATACTGAAGAGAAATTTAATATGACTAATGGCTTGATTAAGGGACGAAGTCTTATTTTGAAAGATCAAATTATTACTTTGATACCAAATTTTCCAACAAATGAAAAAGAATTCTTTAAGAAAAATGCTGGGAAATCCTACTGTTTAGGAATATGTGGTTGTAAAACTCAGTGTCTATCATATAAATGATCAAAACCTATAAGATGAATCCGGCGAGTTCTTTAGGTGAACTCAATAGTCAAAATCATATCCATGCTTAGGCTGCAAACCATGAAAATATAAATTGCCTTAATAAAGCATTCTCAATATGAAAAATTCTGCATTAAATGTCAAACACTTCTCTATCTATTCTATCTCACACTCAAATTCAGTATCTCTTATGACCACATTAAAGTTACATTTATTTCTACCCAATGCAACCAAATTTTCTCGGCAACTAAACAGAAACTTACTTCGATTAATTTCACAAATTGGGTTTTCATAAATTTTAAAAAAAAAAAAAAAGATATAGAAATGAAGTACCTTGGGCTCTCCGTCAATGTGAACCGTAGATCCATCTTTATAAGCCAGCATAGCCCTGCCGTTCCTGGGGTTAAACCGGATCGGAACGCCGCGACCGGACCCGGTATTGAAAGCATAAAGCGATTTGAAGCCGTATTTGTCGAGAATGTCTCGGACCTCCAACTGGTTCTGGTCCCAACCCCCGAGGCTCGTCCTGAACGTGTCGATCGGGCCTTTGCCTCGCCGATACAAGTAGACCTCCACTTCTGGAACCTTCGTCCTCGCGGTTTTCGGATTCGGATTCGGATTCCGGGATGACCTGTCGGATTTCGGGTCCGATTCCTCGATTTCGCCGACTCTGTTGGTATCTTCTTTGTCGTCCATCTTTGTTTCTGGGTTTTGATTTTCTTTCTGTGAATATGGATCCGAGTTTTGTGTTGTGCTATTTATAGATTTTGTGCTTGGAGACGAAGAGCGGAGGCCCCGCGAAGAATAAAGAGGTCAACGCGCACAACAATATCCAGAGCAGGCTGTTTCACTTTGGTGCTGATTGGAAATAAGCGGCTTTACCACCAAAATACTCTATTTCGCTTATTTAATACTCGTGATTAAAATAAGCTTTACTTTTTTTCTTTTTTTTTTATCAAAGTAAGATAACTTCATTGAATCAACAATGTCATAGTACAAAGGAAAACTGGACCTTAATAATGTAACAAATGTGGCCTCATTAAAACCTTGCCTTTAAAAACCCCCAAATGGGGAAAATCCAGTCAAGGAAAAAGAGTACCACTACATCACATCCAGCAGAAAATAATTAAGAAAATAATTTGTCACTGGCCAAAACATCAGAAATCCATAAAGGACCATCCTCTAACCAAACTTTGAAATCCTGAGTCAGAAGTCCCTGCTTAGCCAATAGATGAGCAACCTGATTACATTCCCGAGGAGCAAATTGACAGGAAATATGAGTAAAATGATTAAAAAGGCCCTTGACTTCATCGACTAAAATAAGCTTTACAAACACCCAGAAAAATTACAAAAAATAAAAATATTTTCAATTCTAGACTCTTGAGCGTGATTGAAAAAGGCCTCTTGTGTTGTGAAGAAGCTAGTTTTGTTAATCATTTATCAATATTGTAGATTATAAGATATTTTATTAAAATGACGAAATTACATTGATAGTATGAAAATATGTGAAATGTCGAAATGAATTGTCATTCTTTCTAGTTCGGTTATAAAAGATTTTAATCGTTATAGTTGTTCGACATATGGATATTATTTTGTTTCTCTAATTTGCAGAATTTTAAATTCACATCATTATTTTCGGACCGCACATGATTGGGATTATGTCCTGTTGAGTTGTATTGCATTTTTTTTCTTATAAATTTTGCAATTAGCAACAAGAGAACTGATCACCAAAGTAAGTTAGAGATTTTAGACTTGACAATTTACATTTAGGAGTCTCGTGGTTGGAAATTACAAAACCAAACTAAATTATTTTAAAAAGAAAACATGCAAAATAAAGGGAGAAACCCTAAACCCTAAACAAATACAAAATATCACTTTACATAGCATACATAGATATTAGTGTACCTTTCATACAACTGATAAATAAAACCCTAACAAACAGCCCCAAATCCCAAATGGGGAACGATTTGGTGGGATCCAGACAGTAAACAAATACTCAAAAGGCTCCTCAATTAACACACAGGCCAACACAAGGACTACCTTGAGAGCTCAAAGTGAAACTAGTCACAGAAGTTCATGACACTACTCCTAATATTATTTTGGCTTAATTTTTGTTTTTCCCTTGACAAATCCAATAAATCTGAGCGTAGTGCTTGTTGTGTTGAATTTTTTTTGGAAAGGGAGTGTGTGGGAGTTGTTTATTTCAAGAATATGCTGGATCCAACCAACTACATTTTTTTCATTATAATTAGGAAAAAAAAGGTGCATGATTCTACGAATTTCTTCTGAAAAAAAAATATTTAAGAACCATAGCATTTCACGATTCATTGGTAAATCTACTTTGATTCTCTCTCAACCAATAATGTAAACCATTAATATGGTTAAAGCTAAACCATTTGAAGTTTAGATGCAGCATGGATTCTTTCTACTAC